GAAAAGGGAACCCTGGTACACTGTTGGTGGGAATGCAGAATTGTGCAGCCACTGTGGAACACAGTATAGAATTTCCTAAAAAAAATAAAATGGAACTGCCTTTTGACCCAGCAATTCCACTGCTGGTGTTATACCCTAAGAATCCTGAAAAACCAATTCAAAAGAACCTATGCACCCCAGTGTTCATAGCAACGTTATTTACAATAGCCAAGTACTAGAAACAGCGAAATGATCATCAGTAAATGAGTAGATTAAAAAATGTGGTACATTTATGCAATGGCATAGTACCCAGCAGAAAGAAGAAGGAGCTCCTACCTTTCACAACAGTGTGGATGGATTTGAAGAACATTATTCAAAGTGAAATAATCCAGCCAGTGAAAGTCAAATACCATATGATCTCCCTTATAAGTGGAACCTAATCAGCAAAGCAAATAAGCAATCATAACTACAGTCATTGAAATAAAGAAAAATCTGACAGTAACCAAAGTGGAGGGGGGTGGTAATGGTGGTGAAAAGAGGAAGTGTCATCAAGAAGCATATATAAAGGATGCATGGACAAAACTGAAGGGGAGTGGGATTGAGGGCTAAAGAAGGGAATGGATGGGCCAGTGGGGAGTCGTTGGGGGGAAAATGGAGACAATAGTACTTTAACAACAATAAAAAAAAGAATGGATAAACTTATCTCTACTTCAAGTTCCTCTCCTCTTGCCACCCCTTCAAAATAAAAGTAAAAAGCAGAGTGTTATTAAGGATGAAATACCTAGAGCCAGAAAACTGTGCAATTGCATAGATGTGGGCTATTGATGATGTCTTTTAAGGAAGGCTCTATACGGAGTAGATTGTTAACTCAAGGGTGTGTGTTCTAGGGCACAACTCTTTTTACACTTAAAGGGACCATTGCATGCAATCTATTGTCCATCAACTTTTCCTAGTAGGGAATAGAGTGAAGGGAACGAAATTCATAAAGTTTCAAAGCTACTCTTGAGGAAAATGCTTGAGTATTTTCAAACTTAAAAGAAAATATTGGCTTTTGAGAGCTAAACCACCTGGAAGTCTTTGAATATTACACTGCTCTAAATCCAGAATCATATGGGCACATAAACCTTTTATATTCGTACTTCAACTATCATGTAATTATAACAAATGGGTTTAGGAAAATTATATGATTAACCATTTCTAATAAGGGTTTGGAAATTTTGATTCAATATTATATGAATTCCAGTAAATTTTAAATTTATTTTATTTATTTTTGTTAAAGCACAGTTGTCTCGATTTTCCCCCAACACATTTCCCCACCCTAAACACCCCCACCAACCAATCTCAGTCCTACTGACCTTTGATTCTGTCCATATGTCCTTTATAGTTATTCTATGATGACCTATCCCCTTCTTTGCTTCATTATCACCCCCCCCCACCATCACTTCTGGTTACTGTAAGTTTGTTCTTTATTTCCATGCCTCTGGTTATATTTTATTTGCTTGTTTTTTTGTTGATTAGATTTCATTTATAGGTGAGATCATATAGTATTTGTCTTTCACCACCTGGATTATTTGGCTTAGCATGAGGCCCTCCAGTTCTACCCATGCTGTCGTGAAGGGTAGGAGCTCATTCCTACTTTCTGTTGTACAGGATTCCATTGTGTAAATGTATCACAGTATACTGATCCATTCATTTACTGGTGGGCACTTAGGTTGCTTCTAGCACTTGGCTATTGTAAATTGTGCTGCCATGAACATAGGGGTGCCTAGGTTCTTTTGAATTAATGTTTCAGAATTGTTAGGGTATAAGCCCATCTGTGGAATTGCTGGGTACAAAGGCAGTTCAATTTTTAGTTTTTTGAGGAAATTCCATACTCTTTTGAACACTGGTTGCACCAGTCTGTATTCCCACCAACAATCTACTAGGGTATCCTTTTCCCCAGAACCTCACCATCACTTAATGTTTATTGATTTGTTTATCATGATCATTCTGACCAGTGTGGAGTGGTATCCCATTGTGGTTTCAATTCGCATCTCTGTAATGGCTAGTGATGCTGAGCATTATTTCATATGGCTATGGGCCTCTGTATGTCCTCCATGGAGAAGTGTCTGTTCAGGCCCTTTTACCATCTTATAATTGGGTTATCTTCCTGGTGTGGAGTCATGTGAGTTCTTTATATATTTTGGAGATCAAACCCTTGTCTTATGTATCATGGTAAATATATTTTCTTATACGTCTGATTTTCTTTTTAATTCTGTGATATTTTCTTTAGTCATGTGGAAACTTATTTTGATGAGATCATATTTTTTAATTTTTCCTTTATATCCCTGACTCTAGGGAATATATTGGTAAAAATGTTGCTGAGTAGAATATCTGAGATTTTTGTGCCTATGTTCTCTTCTGGAAGTTTTATGGTTTTATGATGTATTTAAGTATTTTATCCATCCTGAGTTTATTTCAGTGTATGGTATATGTTGGTTGTCAAGTTTCAATTTTTTCCATATAGCTGTCCAGATCTTCCAACACTATTTGTTGAAAAGACTATTTTTTATTCCATTTTATGCTTCTGCTCCCTTTGTCAAAATTAATTGGCCATGGAGACTTGGGTTTATTTCTGGGCTCTCTATTCTATTCCATTGATCTATGTGTATGTTCTTATGCCACAAGCAAGCATTTTGATTGCCATGATTTTTAAATGTTTTAATTATTATTATTATTTTTAAATATTTTAAAAATTTATTTTAAGAGATGGGAAGGGAGGGTGAAAGAGAAGGAGAGAAACAACAATGTGTGGTTTCCTCTCACTCACCCCCTACTGGGGACTTGGCCCACAACCCAGGCATGTGCCCTGACTGGGAATTGAACTGGTGGCCCTTTGGTTTGCAGCCTGGCACTCCATCCACTGAGCCACACCTTGGACCATGGTGACAAAGGGCACCATGGTCTTATAGTATAGTTTGATATCAGATATTGTGATCCCTCCAATTGTGTTCTCTTTTCTCAAAATTGCAGCAGCTATTCCCAGTCATTTAGGGTTCTATATAAATTTCTGAGATTTTTGTTCTATATCTGTAAAATATGTCATTGGTATTTTAATGGCAATTGCATTGAATCTATAAATTGCTTTGGGTAGTATGGACCTTTTGATGATGTTAATTCTTCCAATCCATGAACACAGTATACGCTTCCATTTATTTGTGTCTTCCTTAATTTATTTCTTCAATGTTCTGTAGTTTTCGGAGTACAGGTCTCTCACATCTTTGACTAGGTTTATTCCTAGATACTTCATTTTTTGTTATTGTAATAGCAAATGGGATTTTTCTCCTGATTTTTGTCTCTGATATTTCAGTGTTGGTGTACAAAAATGCCTTTGATTTGGAATAATTGACTTTGTATCCTGCTGCCTTGCCAGATTCACTTATTACTTTGAGCAGTTTTTTGGTGGAGTCCGTAGGGTTTTCTATCTCTACTGTCATGTCATGTGCAAACAAAGGCAGTTTTACTTTCTTCTTTCCAACTTGAATGGCTTTTATTTATTTTTCTTGTCTTATCACTGTGGCTAGGACTTCCAATAATATGTTGAACATAAGGAGTGATGTAGAAAATACTTGTCTTGTTCCTGGTCTTAGTGGGAAACCAATAACAAGTGTGTTTTCTGCATCTATTGATATGATTATTCATTTTTGTCTTTCATTTTGTTTATGTGATGTATTACATTTATTGATTTATGAATACTGTACCATACTTACATATCCAGAATGAATACCACTTTATCATAGTGTATGTCCTTTTTATTGTATTGCTGGATGGGGTTTACCAATATTTTGTTGAGGATTTTACCTTCTATATTTATCAGTGATATTGGCTTATAGTTTTGTTTCTTTGTTTTGTCTTTATTTGGTTTTGGGTTTATGATGATTCTGGCTTCATAAAAAGAGTTTGGGAGTCTTCCTTCTTCCTGGATTTTCTGTAGTGGTTTGAGGGGGTTAGCTCTCCCTTAAGTGTTTTTTGAAAATATCCTGTGAAATTATCTGGTCCAAGTCTTTTGTGTGCCTGAAATTTTTTGATTACTGCTTCAGTTTCTCAAGCTATTATCAGTGTGTTCAGCCTTTCTGGTTCTGCTTGATTCAATTTTGGAAATTTATATGCTTCTAGAAATTTGCCTATTTTTCCCAGGTTTTCAAATTTCTGTGTATATTGTTATTGGTAGTAATTTGTTACATTTCTTCATATTTCTGTGGTATCACTTATAATTTCTCCTCTTTCATTTCTGGTATTTTTAAAGATTTTATCTATTTATTTTTAGCAAGAGGGGAAGGGATGGAGAAAGAGAGATAAAAACATCAATGTGTGGTTGCCTCTCATGGGGCCCAACTTGGGACATGGCCTGCAATGCAGGCATGTCCTGACCAATAATCAACCCCACAACCATTTGTTTCACAGCCTGCAATCAATCCACTGAGCTTCACTAGCCAGAGCTCATTTCTTATTTTATTTTTTGGATCCTCTCTCTTCTTTCCTTGATAAGTCTGGTGAACAGCTTATTGATTTTGTTCATCTTTTCAAACAACCAGCTCCTGAATTTATTATTCCTTTGAATTGTTCTCTTAGTTTCCTTGTCATTTAATTCTGCTCTGATCTTCATTATTTACTTTTTAATATTAGCTCTGGGCTTTGCTTGTTGTTCCTTCAGTTCTTGTAGAAGCCCAGTTAGGTTGTTTATTTGAAATGTTTCTCTTTTTAAGGTAGGCTTGTATGACTATAAACTTTTCTCTGAGGACTACCTTCGCTGTGTCCCACAGGTTTTGCACTGTTATATGTTCATTTTCATTTCTTTACAGAAATATTTTTATTTCTTCCTTGATCTCATTATTAACCTATTCATTGTTTAATAGCATGCTATTCAGTCTACATGAGTTTGAATGTTTTTAAGTATTTTTCCTTGAGGTTGGTTTCTATTTTTAGGCCCTTTTGGTCTATGAAAGTGCTTGATATGACTTCAGTTTTATTGAAATTTTTAGGCTTGTTTTGTGTCCCATCATGTAGTCTATCTTTGAAATGTTCCATGTGCATTTGAAAAGAAAGTGTGTTCTGCATTTTGTCTCTTTTGGATGAAAGGTTCTATGTACATATTACTAAAGTTCATTTGATCTAATGCATCATTCAGTTCCACAATATCCTTGTTAATATTTTGTTTGGAGGGTCTATCCTTTGTTGACAGTGGGGTTTTAAATTCCAGTATTATAATTCTGTTAATGTCTATATCTTTATTGAAGTCCTCTAAGATGTTCCTTATATATTGTGTGCTCCTATGTTAGGTGCATATATGTTTACAAGATTTATGTCTTCTTTATGGGTTCTTTCCTTCAGCATTATGATGTGTCCTTCTGAGTCTCTTCTCATGGCCTTTGTTTTGAAGTCTGATTTGTCTTATACAAGTATTGCTACCCTAGCTTTTTTTATGTCCATTTGCTTAGAATATTTTTTCCAGCCCTTCAATTTCATACTATGTATGTATTTTGTTCTGAGGTGGGTGTCTTCTAGACAGCTCATGTGTGGGCCCTGTTTTCTTATCTATTCAGCTACCCTATGTTTTGATTGGTGCACTAATCCATTTACATTTAAGGTCATTATTCATAGGTACTTATTCATTGCCATTTTACCCCCTTTGTACATGCATTCCTCTCTCTGTCTCCCTTTTTATTCTTCTTCTTAAAGCAGTCCCTTTAACATGTTTCATAATGCTGGTTTGGTGGAGGTGTATATTTTTAGCCATCTTTTGTCAGAGAAAGTCCTTATTTCATGTTTCATTTTATTTGACATTCTTACTGGGCTGTACTCTTCTTTGTAGGCTTTTGCTTTTCCTTACTTGAAATACTTCTTGCCATTCCCTTCTGTCTTGTAGTGTTCCTGTTGTGAAGTCAGCTGCTAGCCATATCGGGGATCCCTTGTACGTTACTTCTTGTTATTCCCTGCTGCCTTTAAGATTCTCTGTTTGTCTTGGAATTTTGATATTTTAATTATGATGTGTCTTGGAGTAGGCCTCTTTGGGTTCATCTTAATTGGGTCCTTCTGTGCTTCCCAGACTTGTGTGACTTTTTCTCTCATAACATTAGGTCACTATTCTATCATTACTTTTTGAATCAGATTTTCTCTTCCTTGCTCCTTTTCTCCTTCAGGTATCCCTATTATATGGGTATTATTATGTTTCATGCCATTCTGCAGTTGCCTTAACCCTTCTTTGTTCTTTTTTTAGTCTTTTTTCCCTTTTCTTCATGTTTGCAGGAGTTTTTGTTTGTTTGTTTGTTTTTCTACCTTGTCCTCCAGCTCATTGATTTGATCCTTTGCTTCATCTGGCCTGCTTTTGATTCCTTTACTGTGTCTCTTCAATTCAGACATCTTAGTCTTCATTTCCTTTTTACTCTTATTGATTATTTTATATCCTTTTTCATGCTGATGAAACTTGCAGTATGTTTCTTGTAGTTTTCCTATAGTTTTTGATCTTACTGAGCTTCCCTGTGACCATTGTTTTGAACTCAATATCTGATGGTTGACTTGCTTCTATTTCATTTAGCTCTCTTTCTAAAGATTCATCCTTTCCTTTCAATTGGAGGTTTTATTCTATGTCTTCCCATTATTTGTGAGACTCTTCTTATTTGCTTCTGCTTCTTAATGATATCTGTTTTCACTGCTTGAGTTTGTGGTGTGAATATCTATGGTAAGAATCCTGAAATTCAGTAGTGCAGCCTCCTTGATCTCCTGAACTTGTTGCTCTTGGGATGCCATTTATGCTGTTTATGTTAACTCTCTGAATGTATTTGGGTTTTGATTGTTTTGAGGTCATTCTTTGGTAGGTCTTTCCTCCAACTGGTTGCCTAAGGGTCACTCTGCCCACCACGGCTTGTATGCTGTTGTGCAGGTTCTGCCAGTACAAAACCACGAACTCAGGGAATAAACCCGCATCCATAAGAATAACTCCCCTCTGCAATCCCACTATCAACAGCAAATGAACCAATATTAATAAGGGTGTAAAGAGATTAAGACTATTATAAAATAGGAAAGCAAATGTGAGATGACCTTCTGAAAGAAAAATGATTTTGAGAGGGTACAGGGAGGAGCACTAATAACAGTTGGGTGTCAGAGCAATGCAAAGAGAGAAAGTAAAATTTACATCCTGCATAAAGAAGGCAATGAAGAAGGTGGAATATGCACAAAATTGATGGAAAAGAAATGAATGTTAAAAAGCTGTGCAAGAAAGACAATATTGCAAATTATGGAGAAGACCTCAGCAGATTTCATCTTGATAACTTCTAGTATTTACCACTGCTTTTTTTTTTCTTTTTGGATCTGCCTCTGATTATGTCAAATGTTGACCCTGTCTGATCTTAGGCAGCCTATTCAAAATGACCAGGGATCTGTTGTCTGTGGCTGTTTCCTTCAGATGTTAATCAAGTCACTCTGCACTCAACAGTCAAGTTTAAGCACCACAGGGTGAGGCAGAATAACTCCTTTTGTTGGTGCTATTTTTCCCCTCAGGATAGTGCTGCTTAGAGGGGAGTGGTCTGCCTGAGCAGGATGGCTGCTGCCATATGGGGGATGACTCAGCACCAGGATCCCTGTAGCTACTCTCTTTTTTCTCTCCCCAAAGCTTCTCTCCTTACCCTCTTCTCTGGCATCTGCAGCCTACTCTGCCCCTGCCTTTGCTGGAGCCCAGGTTAAATGGCTTCAAATGGAAATTTGTACATTGGTCCTTTAAAGGGCTCTTTACATCTCCAGCCATCTGTCTCTGGCAGAGAGAAACCCTGCCGCTTTTCACGGCTGGTTGTTTTTTGTGTACTTTTTGGGTCTGGTGCTCTAGGCTGGGAATCCCAGTTTAGGATTTAGAACCCACTCTTCCTGGGGGGATCCAACCAGCTGCTCAATTATCCCTCCAGCATTTCCACCTATGGGCACTCAGCCAGCCTTCTGAAGTCTCCACCTCACTCCTCACTAGTCAGGTTGTGCTGAAGCTGATTCTTCTGTCTGGCAGAGATTTTTTGTATGGCTTCTCCCTCACTATTGTTGAGTTGTTTGTTCCTGGTTATTTCTCCACAATTTAGTTGTAATTCCAAATTGGTCCTGGGAGGAGGTTAGTGTGACTTCCATTCACTCTTTTGCAATATTGCTATATTGTGTTTCATTTCTAAATGTAAAAATAGAATACCTGTTTTAAACTTTGAATGTAATATCATAATGTATATTATTAACAACCATCCAGCCTGTCTTCTGAGTTACCATTTCTGTGGTCTAAGTTTTACTTATAGCTTCATTTCAACTTTACATATATCTATCAAGTGCCTACTAAGCAGAAAGCAGTATTTGTCTGACAAAACCCCATCTGGTGACAGGTAGTAAGGTTATGCATTTTGATGATGCTGACACCTTGTCTTTATGGAATCAGTGCCACTGGAGACAATACCCCAGCTATGTCTGAGGTAATGACATTCTATTCTAACACACATATATAGAATCTGAATACAGGCTTGGTGAATAAAAATCCTATCTGAGAGCAAATAATTGATGCCAGAAATTTGGGCCACAGCAGCTTTCTTGATTTTTACACTGTTAAGGTTAATTGGTCATTCTCATCACCCTTTATTTAAAATCATTTCAGAATTAATTGGTATTTGTTAATGAAAGTCTTTGTGGTGGTATTTCAAAAACAGTCATTATTTAGGTAATAAACATAAAAAATGAAAATTGTCCTATTACTGGGTCCCTATATGCTGTTAACTAACATTTTGAATAAGAAAGCATAAATATAAATTCAACATTATTCAAACTGCTAAGAATATGGGAATTTCAGATGGTGGTCTGTAATAATCCTTTGATCTAATTTTTTCCTTTAAAGAAAGTGTACTCCGGATAAAATGATTCTGGTTAGAAATCACCTTGAGCGGTCTCTCAGAGAAGCCAGGCAAGGGAAGAGGTAAGCCATCATATAAAGCAGTATATTTTACCTAAATATACCACCTTCTAGTGTAAGATAAGAGCTCAGTCTCACATAATGGCATTATTTGACCACCTAGTAGATTCCTAGGGTAAGTACCTTAATGAGATTTAGAGAACAGACTCATTCTACAAGAGACAGGAACAAATTTCTGTTTTTAGGACTAAGTAATACTTTCTCAACCATGTGCCTCAGTTGTGGTTCATAAGAGTTATAATGCCAAATCTTCAACCACATCTCATGAGAACAAACTCCAGGAAACATCCACATTATTTTGGAATAATGGAAGGATGCTGACCTCTGTTTCTACCCAAGGGCCAGAGACTAGGACTTGTAAGTATTTTCAGGTGAACTTTCACCTGCATCTCTGTATATCTTTATATGCGCAGCTCCAGTTAACTTCAAAAGGCACACCATTTTAGAAGTGATATGAAGCCAGGCTACAGAATTCATCAAAAACTCTCATTCTTATTCTGTGACACAAACAATTTCTAAATATCTGAATGGAAATGGAAAAACATACATATAATTTAAAAAGGTCACTTCACTAGTCAAAGGGTATTTGTGTCTTGTGGCAGTTCTGTGTTTAAAAAAAAACAGAAAGAGAAATGGGAAAAAGGAGAACCTTTGATTTAACATAAAATACCACAGGAGTTCTCTCAAGTTACTTGTTCCCAATGGGAACTTGCAAGATTAACCAATACTCTCTAAGCACTGTGGGAAATCCATTGGCTATAGACTATAACACATACACTGATGGGATTGGTAACTTTTGAGTATACCTGATATTTCACCTTCCACAAGTAGAATTGTATGGTTAGTGGGGTTAGTATTTTTAGGCCCCAATCATGTTAATGCTATTTGTGCTTAGTATTGTACTTACGTAATTTCATTCAATATTGCATAAACCAAAGAAAAATGAGTGTGAAATAAGGAAATTTTCTCCTAAAGAATGAAACTGGATGATTTGATAAAACTCATCTCTTTCTTAAAATATATTTTATTGATTATGCTATTACAATTGTCCAATTTTTTTTCTCTCCTTATTCCCCTCTG